TCGAGGCTGTGGTGGCCGGGAGCGGCCACTGCACTCCAGTCTGGGTGGCAGAATGAGACTCCAACTCAAAAAAAAAAAAAAAAAAAAAATACATTGTCTACAAGGTTTTATCTGTACAGGGATTATATAAGCAGAAAATTATCAGGGTGAGATTAGACCCATGGGGGGCAAGTAAACAAGGCAGCAGACCAAATTATATTCTTTCAAAAGGTCCCTACTTGCTGCTCCTAGGTAACAGCTAGACTCTAAACAGCATGGCTCTGAAGACTAAGTTGGTCTTTCAGAAGTTTTCGAGAATGACATTTGTGCTCTGAAATCTGTTTAAAATGGAAACTCTCAGTACTTTCCACAGGGCAACTGGGTGGCAATATAATCAACTACCTGCCCTAAGATCAGTGAAAAGCGTCTTTAATCGGACCATTCCAGGAAATGCAAAGCCTCCAGCTTCTAAAGATGACTCTTCAGAGAGAGCTGAGCTACAAAATGCTGGTAATTCTCCTTTATTGGGAGATAAAAGGATTATTTCTACTCAGGCTTTGGCGCTGAGCTGGAGTGAAAAGCAGTTAAATTCAGCTGTCACTGTGCATTAATAGCTTGGGTAGCCTGGAGGTAGCAGGTCCATTCAATTTGGGACTGGGAGAAGCACATTGACTTAGACCATTTTAGTTCCAGGGTACATCCCTAATGGGGGCCCATACTGGAAATTTAGTCTCCAAATGGCCAGTTCTGGTTTCTTACCTTCCCCAAGGCCACAGACCTCTTGAAGAGCTGCTGAGAACTCATTCTTCATGTGGGCCGAACACCTGAAGCTGGACCAGTTGCTAGTTTGGGATTTTAAATGGAGGCAGAATTTATTCCTGGGAGGTGGGATGGGGGTGGGGTTTCATCTGTGGACCTATCGTGAGTGCAGATGATTTGTTTAGAAATAAGGAAGTCCAACTGGCAATATTTTAAAATAAATAAGTTTTCTATGTTGAAAACTTTATGTACTTTAGGTTGATTAAAAATATACTTTTTAGCAGTTTCTATTAATTTCTAAAATTTTTAAAACCTGAAATGCAATTTGAACAGTAATGACCTCTTTAAATACAAATATAGACTGAATGCCCCCTGAATTTATCAATTTAATATTTTTAGTGCATTAGGTCTCATCTGCTTCGCCACGGGACTTCAGTCATTTTCTTCACAGGTTATTTTTGATCATCGCATTTTTCTGGTAGACCTAAGGCGGTGTCTCTCTGTTCCAGGACTGGTCCAGGACTGTGCCTCTGTGGTGATTCCATTCGGATCCTTCTTCCCTGTCACTGTGGCTGCCCTGAGCACTCCACCCCAGGGTATTCCAGCCAGACCTTTCCTTTGTCAGTGACTACCTCTGAGGGGCCTTAGGTACTAGCTGCTGAGTGGCCACAGTCACTTCTTGATCACCTCTGTGAGTTCCTTTCATTATTGCTTGTGCCCTGAGCAGCTACTTTGCTTCCTAACTCTCGGGACCTCAGTTCTGTCCCTGGGTTGTGGATTACTCAGTATCACTTCTCTGCTCTGGGATACCTGCTCTCAAAGTTCTTCTGCCAAGAAACAAGGAAATGGCCTTGTTCCTTGTGCTCTGCTATTTCAGAGGTCTATAGTAGAGTTGCTTGAGCTCCCAGGGGTTTCAGCTTCTTGAACTTCACACACAGCATTTTCCTCCCTAAGTGCTGACAAATAGCTAGAGTGGTTAGGTAGGAATGCTCTTCAGTGACCCAAAACTTACATTTCCCTTTGGCCATACAGTCTTCCCCTGGCTTGCACTCATTGTGCCTGACTGCCTCTTCTCCAGGATGCTTTGATGTTCTGGGATCTTATTGTTCCTGTCTTGTTATCTAAGGTGCTCCCTCTCTCCTCATTAGCTGAACATGCCTGCCTATGTCTGCACCTTCTAGTATGAAAGTATTTTGAGTTCGTTTCTCTGGAGGTTTTAGCCTAGAGTGAACTGGAAGTCACAGCTAAATAATGAGGGAGTATCACCTAACTCATCAGTCAGCTCCACAGCTCAGCAGAAGCAGGAACCCTGAAAGGCCAAAAATAATTAT